AAAGACACCTTCGAGTGTGCGACTGCCAATGTCGATCTAACTGATGAGCTAATTTCCCCTAGGAGCTGTGGAGGACTTACTGCGGGAGTTGGGTATTTTGTAATTACACATTTACAAATTCTGTCTGGAGTGGATAGAGCAAGGGCGAGGTGCTCATTTTTATTGTTTGTTTTAAATAAATGAAACTAGATAAGGGGGCAGTGAAGGGCGCTTATTCTGGCTCTTTTCTCTCCAGGAAGATTAAAATATGTAAATTGCTCGGCTGCTTCTGAAGTGCTGCTGAATGCAGTGATTGTGGAGGGCATGGCATGTTTTACACCAATTAAGCCAATGGATTAGTTGTGTGAGCATGCAGGCTGAGGAGTCGGTGTGGCCTAGTGGATAGAACTCTGGATAATGACTCAGGAGACATGGATTCTCTTCCTGGCCACGGACCTGCTCTGTTATGATAAGACTTGGGCTAGTCATTTCATGTGTGGATTGTAAACTCTTTAGGGCAGGGGCTTATTAGCCAAATTACTGTGTGGTCATCAAGAAAACCTTTTTCCAATTGTTTATTCTCTTTTATGTTTTGTCCGCAGCGAGACAGAGTTGACATTTACTGTGTCCTGGAGAAAGTATTACAGCAGGACACTGGGAACCTACAGAGAAGGCTACTTATCAAAATAATAACCCTGGCCTCAAAACACATGAGAGAGGCTCAGGTAAGTTAGTTCTCCCGAGATACTAATCAAAGGATCCAAAGCTTTAACTAATTAAAACTCTCTTTTTCGGGGGGTAAACTATATACTGAAACGAAAATGTATTCTCCTGTTAGAGGCCCACACCTTCCTCCAGACCAAAGCCCAGGTCCTAGACAGCACTTGTGCACATGCATAGGATGGGAGAACTCACATGCAAAAGTTACACATGTGCTTAAGTGCTTTGCAGGATCAAGACCCGAGACACATGATATCAGACACAGAGAGAGGCCTATGGTTTCTTAACGAGCAAGTCTTTCCCGAAGTCTACTAGGGATTTCATTATTGATCCTGATGTTATGTGGAAGGCGCTCTGATACTAGAGCGATAAGTGGCAGTATAAAGCCCCAAGACAGACAGAATCTGAGCTATCTCCAAAAGAAGCAGCATTGGATTTAGAATATAGTTTGCCAGCAGGAAAACCCATGGAAAAATCCCTCTTGTTCCAAAGGAAGTCAGCCTCCTTTTGGGGGACAGTTTATTCCAGGAAAGCTCTCTGAATATCTTGAAGCTGCCCAGTCTGTGTCTCACTACCTCCTCAGGGAAGGGCAGGGAAAAATATCATATGACATCCACCACAAGTAGCTAATAGTAAATAGTCTAACTAAGCAGCTTGCAAGGAACTCAAAGGCTGAAAATTGTTTAGCCAAATGACTCGATGAATATTTATGACTAATGACTCTATCCACAGAAAGTTGGGAGGCTTCATTCACAACTTATGCACAGAAATAAGGACTTGACTCATATAAACAACTCTGGCTAGTGCAACCGGCTTCAGTCACCTCAGTCTCTCTCTCTCTCTCCCTGGTTTTTTTTTTTTAGGAAGCAACAAATGAACTAAAAGTGGCAGCTAGCAACATCTTAGTGACCCTGGGATGCTGCTATTTCTATGAGGTGATGTACGAGCTGCAGTGTCATCTGACAGTACGGGAGAAGCCTGAAGAGTATATTTTCATTACGCTGGGCAACCTGTCATCAGCTTATGGTATGGTAACTTCCACCTTTTGTTTCAAAGTTATTGTCTTTCATTTAAGGACAGGGGATTACACTCTCTCCCTAAAAATGTTACAGCTAAACAGAGCTCTGTATGCGTGTGTGCATGCGGGTGCGTCTGAGGAGAGACACGAGATTAACTGCTGTTGCTAGTTCTTGGCTTCCAGATCATGAGCTATCCAGACGGAGGTGCAAGCTCTAACTTATGTCCCTGACTGAAGTTCCTTAAGGATCGGATGGGGGAAGATCAGGTCTAGTGGAGCTCTTCTCCACCCCACTTCCCATCCCGCCCCAGTGCTCTCTCCCCTTACTCTGGGAGTGAGTTGGGCATCAGGCACAGCTGTACACTGGTGGAGGATTCCCCTCTTCAGGGTGCATCTCCCACTGGCTTTCAATGGCTGCTTTAAAGCCATTCTGCTCTGCTTACGCAGTGCAAAATGGCCTAGGAGCCCATAGCATCCTGCCCCACGGTGTTTCTAAGTGTGTTGTAAGAAGGCAGAGAGCAGCTGATTATCTTTCTTCCTTCTCTTCTGGCCTTTTTCTGCAGCACTTAAGTGTATCCCATATGTGGGAAGTACCCTGAACGCCATGTTCCCCATCTTGGGGTTAGTCAAGGACAGCAGGCTGAGACAAGCATTTTGTGGTGGTAAGTGCAGCACTTACTGGAGGGGCCCAAAATGGATATTGAGGGGGTCTTGGTACAGATTGAAGTGACTGGCCAAGTTTGCAAACAGGCCCTGAACTGTGCTCCCTGCCCTGGATTGCACCAGGTGCTGCGTTCCTTGGCTCCCGTGGCACTCAATGAAGTTGAGAGTGCTCCGTACTTTGCAGGAGGCGCTGAGCATTTGTAAGTTCAGGCCCTTTATGACTCATGGATATAATTTAAAATAAACACACACAAAGGCTGACTCTGCCCATCTGCCAGGAGGCTCCTGGGGGAGGAGGTGAAGGGAGCAGATTGCATTACTGAACATTTAAAAATCTCGTTTCCCACTTCTCTACCCATTCTCTCCCCTTAGTTTCTTTATCATCATCTCCTTTCACCCTCTTTCTCTATCTTCTCTTCCTCCCCACTTCTCTCTTCCTTTGCTTTTCAGGTGATGCTCAGTAAGGGGTTAATCCTGTGCCTTTGAGGTAAATGGGAATTTTGCCATCAACTTCATAGAGAACAGGATTGGGCCCTAATTCTTTTTAGCAAGGACACTAGATACACCTACTTTTAGGGCAAAGTGCTCCCCAATACCTTCAAATCCCAGTAAAGCCAATGGATGTTAGGGGCACTGAACATCTTTCAGGCAAACTGTAACTCAAGATGAAATCATACAGTGTAAGGGTTAAATAAACAATAACTGCAGAGGACGCGAGTCATTCAGAGGAGAGCTGGTTGAAATCTTTTGATTTTTAATTATATTTTCCATACTTTTTCTTTCCAAATTTGATGAAAAACAAACCTGAAAAATGTCAATGACCATTTTGATCAGGAAGTGTGCGTCCAGTGTTTTGGAGCAGCTAAAGAGGTGGCTGAATTTTTTTGATTTTTGAAAAATATCAATGATTTTTATACTTTGCAATTTTGAAAAAAAAAACTATCAGTAAAGATTTTTAATTTAATTTAAACTGCTTTTTCAACCAGCTCTAATTAAGAGGTAACAAGGAAGGGAGAAAAAAATTGTCCTCAAATGATGGTAATTGAAAAAAGATTGAGAGATATGCAAATTTAAAAGCCTTTTCAGAAACAAGACATGGAATGGGGGGAAGAGAAATAGCTCAAAATTGATACGGGATTTCAGCGTGTAGTCCTGAACTAAGCAGTAGCTGCCATGGAATTGTAGTAAACTTTAGGCCTGGGTGAGTTCACTGATAAAGCAACTTCTCCTCGTTACTAATATGTCCTTTTCACATTGCCTGTCTTCTCTCCTTCCATGCAGTTCTGGAAAAATGGTCAAGGGCAATGAATCTATATTTGACTAACTGGGATAAGAGCACATTCCCCAGCATGGGTACATTGCCATTCTTTGATGCAATTCTTCCATTCTATTGTCATGTGACCAGCAACTGGCTGAAATGTGAGGAGCTGCAGGTGAGAATTGCTGGCTTTCTAAACCTTTAGCAGAAATTGTAATGTTAAATTCTATGTGTCTGTCACTCTCTGTGATGATGGCCTTTAATGTTAGGTCCTGTTGGATGGAACAGTGTCATGTAAAACATCTAAACCCCATATATTTATAATGTCACCACATCATGGAAATTCTGTCTGTACACAGTGTACATAGCTTCTAGTTTTATGCACCTAATGTGCAGATGAACACGGGCTAGTGGGTTAAATTAATTCCTGGTATAAGTCCATTCAGCCCCAGTGGAATTACAGCAGTTTTGCGTTGGCTGAGAATGCATACTAATCTGGGGAATATCTTACCTGGTATAGTTGTGAAGTGCATTAGAATATAATCCTGAAACCAACCCTACGAATCCCGGTTCTTTACCAGGAAATATTGAGATCGGGCCGTTCCTACAGTGGAACAAGGGAAGTTGCACTCATTAGAAGTAGAAAAGGTGTGCCCATTGGATGATATTGAATGAATTCTTAGGAACATAAATTCTGTATCTCATCTATGCAGCTCAAGCAGGCCATCATCAAAGCCCTTGGTCCCATGATGAGCCTCCTGCTACACATAGAGGAGCATCAAGATCGGATATTTGAACTGATCTCATGGCTCCTTGAGCAATATAAGGAGGACATTGATGTTTTTCACGTCACCAAGGTGAGGTAACCATCATTTAGGTAACTGTCTATGCGTCTGCATGTATGAACTGCATAAGGAATTTGCTGCCAGTGGGGTTTCCTGGTTTAGACAGTGACTTGTTAGATAATAAATATCTACACGAGTTTTGG